TGTGTGTGTGTGTGTGTGTGTGTGTGTGTGTGTGTGTGTCCAGTTTAGACCATAGCTCACAATTACACTGCTCAACTCACATCCAGCGGCATTAGGTTAAAGACTTGTTCTAATTGTTAATGTGGGTCACTAATTCCAGAAATAGCATTAGCTTTTTGACATTTTTGCTCCATGAAAAATGTGTATTTTTCCTGCCAATATAACAATATTCAGGAATTCAGGAATTTTCAAACAGCATAGCCTATATTATGATTCAATCAGATTAACGTGTTGAACCTTTAAATGCGCGATGGTTCCTTCAAAATAAGTAAGGGATCAATGATAGATAAACCATGCCAATGTTTCTGTGTTATAAAAGTAAAATAACAAAACCATATCCCTGCGTGATCCCTACAAAAATATGACTATTCTTCACACTTTACTCCTTCCCAGTGAACAAAAGCCAAGGAAAAGATTTTAAGTCAAACTGGGCCAAGTTAAAGAGGACCCTGATTTTGAGTCGACAACCTTTTTATTTTCTATAGTTTCAAGGTTTTATAATAAATCTCAGTAAAAAAGAAAAAAGAAAGGAAGTCATTAACTCAAAAGAAGTGGGCTAAGCTGGCAGGTTGAAAGACAGGCCTCCTTTCCAGGGGGGGGGGGGTAGATATGCAGGGAAGAGTTCAAACTGCTATATATCCACAGGGTAATACGACACTGCCATAACCAGTTCCAATGTGAAAAGGGGGAGAGGGGAGGGACAGACAGACAGACAGACAGACAGACAGACAGACAGACAGATAGACCGACCGACCGACTGACCGACCGACTGACCGACCCACCGACTGACCGACCGTCCGACTGACCGACCGTCCGACTGACCGACCGACAGACAGACAGACAGACAGACAGACAGACAGACAGACAGACAGACAGACAAACAAACCCACCATATATCCAGGAGACAATAAGACACTCAGCCACAGCTACAAGTATCAAGGTGAAGGCCGCCACGTACCAGTCTACCAGCTGGAACAGATACACGCCGCCCTGGGAAACAGAGAGTAAACAGACTGAAATATTTTTCATCATAGGCAACCTGGTCTAGTTATTTAAGAAGTGGGACCTCTGAATCTAACGTCCATCTCCGACAAAACCGAGTCAAATGGGAAAATCCCTGTAAAGTGCCTTTCCCAAGGGCACAGCGTTGGACTGAGCTGAGCCTCAATCACTCGAACTTGCAATCTCACTAATACGAGCCCGGTAGACTACCCACTGGACTGTCGACGCCACTTCAGAGAGAAAGAGAGAGAGAGAGAGAGACAGAGAGACAGAGAGACAGAGAGACAGAGAGACAGAGAGACAGAGAGACAGAGACAGAGACAGAGAGAGAGGGGATAGACAGGGGAGAGGGAGGGGAGAAAGAGGGGAGAGGGAGGGAGAGAGAGAGAGA